GCTTGTGCTGGGCCATGCTGGATACCCAGAGGTGAATCCTACCAGGCCTGGCCTCAAGGTGCCCACAGCCTAGCAGGGGATGAGTGAAAGACTCCTAAGAGCCCATTGCAGGGAGCTGGTTGCTTTGCCCAGGGGCTGGAGTTGCTCCAGGAAGCTGGCCTGTGAGCCAGATTTGGATGTGGGGTAGGAGATCCCAAAGAAGAAAGCCAGAGAAGGGGATTCCAGCTAGTGGGACAGCAGGGCCAAGGCATGATACCGTGAGAGAAACATTTTCCTTCTAGTGAACTCTGATCTCCCTCCCTGACAGCTCTCTTTGAAGAAGAGTTCTTAGATCCTGAGTCTTCACCTTCTGCCTGCATGCCTGGAGCACCACAGAGGAAGGTAGGCATTGTCTGTCCATCTGTCCACAGACACATCCATCTGTCTTTCCACACACGTTACTCACTACTTTATTCACTCGTCCATCTCTTCCACCTTTCAGCTGTCTCCCACCCACCTACACACCTGTTCATCCTCTCTTGCTTCCCCTCATTGCTCTAAAAACTCACCCACCTCTATGCACTCATCTGCCCATACTTTGAACATTCACTGCTGGTCACCAGATGCCCAGCTCTGTGCTGGGCATTTGCAATGAAAAAAGATAAAAGCTAAAGACTATCAGGTGCCTATAAAAAGATCCCATGTAATTTTACAACTACTCTTTTTTTTTTTTCTTATAAAGATGACCAGTAAGGGGATCTTAACCCTTGGCTTGGTGGTGTCAGCACCACGCTCAGCCAGTGAGCAAACCAGCCATCCCTATATGGGATCCGAACCTATGGCCTTGGTGTTATCAGCATCGCACTCTCCGAAGTGAGCCACGGGCTGGCCCTTTACAACCACTCTTTGAAGCAGGGTCTCTTGTGATCCCACTTTACAGATGAGGGGAGATCAGAAGAGGGATCCTAGGAATCCTCAGTTGGAATAGAGATCAAAACCCAGGACTGCCTCCCTCCCGGGGCCCTAGACTAACCTCTATAGCTACCATCCACTCCAGGAACTCATCTTCTGATGGAGAGGCAGCCCCAGTTCTAGTCCCTGATTGATTCTTCCTCCAGTATTGCCTCAGTGAGTAGCTGAATTGGTAGTAGAAACAAAATAGACATCATTGGCAGAGCTCTTGGTAAGCGTCTGGCACTCTGCAAGGTGCTTCTCAATCTTGTGAGGCATATGTTGTGACCACTATTTTGTCAATTTCAGACAAGTTAAGACTGGCCCAAGGCATCACAGCTACTAAGGACTGGTAAACTGACAGGCTTAAGAGATATTGCCCAAGAATAGGAAGCAGATGCCGAGTCCAATCTGGGCCCTCTGTGGGAACTTCAGAACATTATGTCTGAGGGTGCTGAGATGAGGTTGCCTTTTTTTAAAAAAGAATAAAGATGACCGGTAAGGGGATCTTAACTCTTGACTTGGTGTTTTCAGCACCACGCTCTCCCAGGTGAGTCACGGGCCGGCCATAAGGTTGCCTTTTTTTTTCTTTTTTTTAAAAGATGACCGGTAAGGGGATCTTAACCCTTGACTTGGTGTTGTCAGCACCACGCTCACCCAGTGAGCGAACCGGCCATCCCTATATGGGATCCGAACCCGGGGCCTTGGTGTTATCAGCACCGCACTCTCCCGAGTGAGCCACGGGCAGGCCCAGGTTGCCTTTTTTTTCTTTGAGATGTTTGTAATGCTCATATTATATCCTAGAAGAACAGAGAGTGGGGGGATGAAGGGACACCGCTTGTCTTCCTCCCATCCCCTCCTGTCTTTCTCTCTCATTGTGGCCCAGAACATACCCTCAGAAGCTCCCGAAGACCCTCCCAACTCCCACAACCTGTACCAGTCCTCAGTCTCACTGGACCACTCCTACCTCCCACGGAGTGAGAACAGCAAGGTGCTGTCCAGCGCCATATCGGAGGACACCAACACAGAGTCCAAGTGGAGGCAGCAAGAGGTGAGAGGAATATCTGCTGAGGTGGGGCAGGCGTCTCCTGCCCTCTCTCATCTCTCTCTCCCACCCAGGACATGCGGGCCAACCCTGAGGGCTTGCAGTCCTCCAGTGACGAGGACAGAGACTATACGTGGACCCCCACCCGGAGATCCTCAACCCTGCCCGCAGCTGGAAGAAAGGCCAGGAAGGGCCAGGCAGGCAGGGGCCCCGTGAAGCCCAAGGAGAACAAGAAAGTCCCCTGCTCCACCCAGATGAAGAAAAAGTGTGTCAACGGCTTCATCATGTTCTGCAGGATGAACCGGAAGCAGTATATCCGGTGGGTCGGGGGTCCTCTTTGGCCCTGGGCAGGGCCCCACCTTCATTTTCTGTCCCCCCACACCATGTGATTCCTCATTGCTGTCCAAATTATTTGCCCCTTCCTGGAACCCACCAATGCTTTCCCAGACAATTCTCCCCAAGAATCGAACCTGGCCCCATTGTAGTAGTCAGGGCCTATATATTGTAAGCAATGAAACCCAAGCAACTTCAGACTTAAGAAAAAAATGAAATCAATTGGCTCATATAACCTTTAAAAAAAAGGTGCGTATAGACTGCCCTCAGATGTGGTTGTTTTTCAGGATCCAACAATGCCTTCTGGAACCTTCGTCCCCCCTCTCTCAGCTCTGCTGTATTCCAGGCTGGCATCATTCTCCAGCATGCTGGACCATATTGGGGCCAGGCTAACCCCCAGGAGACTCAGGCTTATGTCCTACCTCCCACTCCCTGTGGGAGGGGAGCTCCCGTCTCTAGAGTTTCCCACAAAAGTTCTTAGGGCTGACTGATAGATCAGGTGCCTAACATCGAACCAGTCATTGCTAGGCCTGAAACCAGGGGATGCACCTCCCCTGCCCCCTTGCCCAACAACAACAAAAAAGCCACAGCAGAGAAGAAGCTGTGTACCGTGAGCTGGTACCAGGGGAGGGGAGGTGGCTACAGGTTCCCTGCACTCTCTGGGACTCTGGGGGCTCCTTTGTGAACAACTGTTGAATCCATCTCCCTTCTTTGACTGTTCAGCTCTAGAATACATAATGGAGGCCTTTCAGGCTGACAGGGATAGAAAAGATCTGAGTTCTCAGATGGGAAAACTGAGGCTCCAGGAGGGCAAGGGACCTTCGTGTGGTTACACTGATGGCTTCCACCAAGCCAGGGGACCCTGCAGGCCTCTCCTTACTTCCTCCTCTTTCTCCTCCTCTTCCTCCTCCTTCCTATTCCAGAGCCTGTCCTGGGACTGCATCCACGGCTGCCACCAAGGAGCTGGCCCAGCTCTGGCAGATGATGACCCAGCAGGAGCGGAGACCATATTGGTGAGAAGCTACTGCCCAGCAGGTGTGGGTGGTGGGGTAGAGGAGCCTGCCTGATCCTTAATCCTCCACTGATTTTTAGAGCCTTAAGCTTCATGGTATTGGAAACAGGTTGGGAGCTCACTGGGCTGAGGGTTTTGTGTGTTGCAAATTTTTATGAAAGACTTGGGGCTAACAAAGGTGGAGAGCTAAGAAGGGCAAATAACTTAATTGGGGATTTGGACCCCAGGGCTCTCAATTTCTTTTGCCCTTCTGTGCCACACAGAGTTTCTCAGAGCATGGTTTTATTTTCCTATTGCTTGGCTTCTTCCTTCCTTCCTTCTCTCCCATCCTCCCTCCCTCCCTCCCTCCAACAACTTTTCTTTTCTTTTTTTTTTTGCGGCTGGCCGGTAAGGGGATCCGAACCCTTCACCTTGGTGTTATCAGCACCACACTAAGTGAGCTAACCCGTCAGCCCTCTCCTCCAACTTCAAAGAGCTGCTACCTGCCCATTTCTGAATTGGCCCCTGAAATACAGGTGTATGTGCACAATTTTCAACGGATCCTCAAAGGAGTATGGGACTTCAGCAAAGATCCTTTGGCTGAGTCTCATCTTACAGACCAGTACTTGAAGGCCAAAGGCTTGCCCAGTAGGACTTAAGACTCTGGCCTCCTCCTCAGTCCAGGCCCTGGTCACTGCTGGGGCCAGGGGATTAGGAGTGGGACAGAGATGCCTGGGAGGTGGGTGAGGAACCTCTGCCTGTCCTGCCACTGTCTCCCCCAGCATCAAGGCTCGCAGGTTTAGCCGCCAGCACAACCGCATCGTGAAGCACAACAGCTCCAGCAGCGAAGATGAGGCCTGGGAGACCCCGAAGCCCTTCTACCAGTTGCTGGCCAAGAAGGCCCACTCTTCCCCATTCCCGGCCTTGCCACTGCCCCCTCATGAGGGAGAAGGGGTAACCCCCCTTCCTTTGCCTCTCTGCCCTCATCTCTCCCAGCTCCTCTAGCTGTTGTTGAAGCCAGGAGCCAATGAGGAAAAGGTTGTCCCCTCCTGGGCCTCAAGGCCCTGCTAATATAGGACCCCTTGGCCAGTTCCCATGAGGTTGTGGAGGGGGCATATTTATTGACCCCTGATGCTTTGTGCAATTACCTTGTACATGGCAGAGTTGCCAGCAGGGCACAACTGCCCTTCTCACAGCTCCTTTTCTACCCTGTGGCTTATCACAGGAACTTCAGGGTGTGAGGAAGGAAACCCTACATGAAATGCAGGGAGGTGAAGTTTTTGAGGAGGGGCTCCCCTCTGTCCTCCCTTTCCCCACTCCAGAATCAAATAGTTTCAACTCTGTTCATTCTCATCTCACCATCCTCCTCCCTCCTGTTCTATTTTTATACTATTTATTGTTTTAAACAAAATAAAGTGGAACCCTTGTTACCAGCAAGGAAGACAAGGGCAGGCTCTCCTGCATCCCCTGCTCCCTTAGGCCTGGGGTGGTCCTACGCAAATCTGGAGTCCCCTCAGTCCTAGGCCTATAGTTTGAAAGAAACCTCACTGCCCACACCTTGTTGAACTGCACCACAAATCTGACTCAAACCCCTCCTCTCCCTCAGGAAGTAGTGTCCAGAAAGCTACAATCTTAAATTGTGCTTTCCATTGTTCAGCTTTTCTTTGGGCAAATTGCTTGGAAGATAACCCGTACCCCTGGTAGGTGTGTTGTCTGTCAACTTTATTTTAACCGAAATGGAGGCGTAACATGTCCTAGAAAAATAAAGATTTAGGATACAAACTAGACACAGGGGTCAGGGTTGCCCAGTGATGAAGGAGTCTTTGGTCTGGGGCTGGACATAAGAATGAGGGTTCTAGTCCAGGAGAGCTAATGGAGGAAGACCCTTGCCCTCCCCACAGCTGCATCCCTTTGAAGGAAGGTCTGCCTGCCCTCCACCCTTGGATTCCCAGCAGTTCTGAGAACACTGGGTATCAGTGGAGCTATTAATAGTGTTTTAGGGAGTGATAGATAGGGAGAGGGCACATGGGGGTTGCAAATCCAGCCATTTGGCAGGATTTCAGCTCACAGCTAGTAGCAGGTGGGGGGGCAGAGCTCTTTAGTCAGGACCCCCAAGTTCCCCATATATATGGTAGGGCACAGCAAGTAGAAGGCTGTAACAGAGGCCTCTCATCCAGAGAGAGTGAGTGTCCTGGACACGGCAAGTCCCCTTGGCACCTCCTGGGCTTGGAGAAGTTAACTGGGCAGGAGGGGCACAGTGTGCGTGGAATCTTCAGATTGCAGCAACTGAGTTTCTAAGAGGTTCCCTCCTCCCAGGTCCTGTCCCTGCATCGTGAGCACCATTGTCAGGAGAGATGATGAGGCCAAGCCGGGTCACAGTTCCAAGGGCTCTTCCACAGGCACCGACTGTAGCTGTGTCAGGACCTTGGCCTCAGCTTCCAGTCCTTCATCAATGTCGGCCCCAGCTGTGGCCCCAAGCAGCAGCCCTTCAGGGTCGGGGTCTGGCAACCTCAGCACGGTGTGGGGGGCCTGCGTCCCCAGCCCCTTTTCTGCTTCTAGCAGCCCCTCTGCTCCCGTGCTGAGTTCCAGCCCTGCTGGCCATATGGGCACAGCTGCAGGTGATAGCATGAGCCCCTCCGGCGGGGGTGCTGGGAAGCTGGGCAGGAGGCTGGAGGAGTCTGGGGAGAAGGGCAGGCTGGCTGCAGAGGTGGTGGAGGTGGCAGGGGGTGGAGGCTGCTGCTCAGAAAGGGTGCCTAGGGTGTGGGCCTCCGGGAGAGCAGGGCTGGGGGCAACTGGGAGGGCTCCTTCAGGCACTGAGATGGCTGTCTCTGGCTTCAGGGGCAGAGCCAAGCTGGGGGCTGGTGGCAGGACCTGGGAGACTAGCATGCTGGTAGGGAAGGTGGCTGTGAGGATGATCTTGCCCTGCTGCACAGCCACACCCGTCACAATAGGGCTGCCAGATACAGGGTTGGCCAGGAGGAAGTTTCCTGTGGGGAGAGGAGATGAGCCAAGCACAAGATTAGAGACAGAGCAGCTGCCCAAGAACAGAGGTAGAGATTGAGCTGCTGGAAGGCAGGCAAATAAGTCCCTTCGGGGTGGGTCAAGTCTGTATGGCTGGAGCCTGAAGGCACCAGGCCTGGCACTGAAGGGCACTAGGACATGCCAGGGATGAGGTACCCTCCCCCCGAGAAACCCACTGACAGCCCTCTCCATCTGAGAAAACTGCCTCCTCCCCCATGCTCTTACCCAGGCCCAAGGGAGGCAGTAGGGGGTACCTGGGGCAGTGGCAGAAGGCAGCTGCAGAGCAGTCACGCCTACCCCGGAGTTTATCAGGTGCACATTGGCAGGGCCTGCTGCAGCTGCCACCTTCACAGGGCTGCCCGGCCCAGCTGCCAACAGCTGCAGTGGCCCCACAGCCTGGGGCAGGGTCATCACCTGTGAGGTGGGCACCACCTGAGGCAGGTTCAACAGTGGGGAGGTAGGGCCCAGGCCCGTAGGGTACCCAGGTGGTGGGGAGAGTGGCACCACTTGTGCAGCAGCCACAGCAGGCACTGGTCCTGGGGGCAGAGGAAAGGTGGCAGCTGGTGGGGGACCAGGCACCACTTGGGGCAGGGGACCTGGGACCTCCTCTCCACCTGGCCCTGAAGCAGCCATTGGGGCCCCCTTGGTCTCAGGGGCCTCAGGCTGAGCCTCCTCCAGCCGAACCTCCCCTGTCTGAGGGTCCAGAACCAGAGAGGTCTTAGCCTCACTGGCCCCTTGGGGACTTGGCTGAGGTGGAGGGGCACCCCCGCCCCCTGTGAGTAGTAGGGGGCCCAAGCTGGAAGCCTCGCCCAGGGCCAGGCTGTTGATGATGACTGGACTCCCATTGAGGAGTACTGCTGGAGAGCTGCTGGCCGCCAGGAAGCTCCCATTCACCAGGATGGAGGAAGAGGCAGGGCACGGCACAGGAGGAGTGGCCCCAGCCAGGAATATGGAGCCCTGGGTGGGAGCCTCTGGGGCCACTGGGGCCACTCCCCTCTCCAGGTCCTCTGGACTTCGGCTGGACTCATCCTCAGTAGTAGGGTTCCCATCAGACTCGCTGGCAGGAGAAAGGACTGTAAGTTGTGGTTCTGAACGCTGCGTTTCCCTATCAGCCAGCCCCATTCCTGGACAGAGCCGGCTGCAAGCTGCTCTGCAGGAGCACAGCTGACCACCGCCTCCCCACCTTTCTCCAGTCCAAGCGTTTTTGTTTGCTTGGTTTTTGTGGACCTTTTCAGGGATTATGAAACCTGAGACCATCCAAGGATCCCAGGGTCCTCTGCAAGCCCTACATTGACACCACTGCAGAAAAGCTAAAGCTGGACGGGATTGGGAGGGAAGAGGCCCTGTTTTTCCCCACCGCCTTGGATCTCTGGGCCCCAGGGGATAAGCACCCAGGATGCCCCCAAGTTTCCTGGGTCAGGCGGAAAGCAGGCGAGTGGCGTGGAGAGAGTGAGGAGCAGACGCCCGCTCAGTTCCCGGTGCCCTCCTCCCCGGGGCGTCAGAGAAGGGAGTGAGAGGCCGGCGCACAGGGTGGGAGGGGAAGGGCTTGGGTTACAGGGAAACCGGAGCTGCGGAAGGTTCACGTTTCACAACAAAGACAGACGACGAACCATGCTGTTTGGGCCCTGAGGAGGGTGGGGTGGGGGCGGGCGGGGGAAGAATAACGGTCAGGGAAGGGCCGGGCTGCGAAGGGGGCCTGAAAGCGGCCCCTTGCCTTTTTTCGCAATCTCCTAGAGCCCCCCATTTTCTCCTCCAACCACTGTAGTCTAACACGGATGGAGCCTAGGATAGACCTTTGGTGCAGCGGTAAGAGGTCTCCTAGCCTCCGCGGGCGGAGCAGTGATGCCCGAGGAGAGAGGGACCCGAGCGTGTGCCTGTTCCGTCCCCACCTAGTCCCTCCACTCCGAGGGTGTGAGCGGGAGGTGTCCGAGGAGTATGGCGTTCTGACTGCAGCAGCGAGCACGGGGGAGGAGGGCTGGTGGTTAGAATGTCCCCGGGAAAGCGGGACTTACGCCGCCCGCGTCCCCTCACCTCTTGCAGGGCGTGCCGCCGCCGCCTCCAGTTCGGTCGCGCTGTCGCCGGTTCTTAAACCAGTTGCTGACCTGCGTGAGCGAGAGGCCGGTGAGCGTGGCCAGGCGGCGCTTCTCGTCCGGCGTTGGGTAGCGGTTGCCGCGATAGCAGGCCTTGAGCGCAGCGCGGGAGCGCTCTTTGAAGCAGTAGACGGTCTCTTCGCCGTCCCAAATGGTCTTAGGCAGCGGGAACTTCTTACGCAGTCGGTACTTGTCCACTGCGCCCAGCGCGCGGCCGCGAGCCCGCTCCGCCTCGTGGTAGCGCGCGCGCAGGTAGAGGTCCTGCAGGAAGGCGTGGTGGGCGGCGGGGAAGGGGCGGCTCTCGAGTAGCCGGTAGAGCTCGGCGTACTCGCCCCGCTGGAAGGCCACCAGGGCCCGCGCGCGCAGCACCGGGTCGCTGCCACGTAGGCGCTCGGCCGGGGGCAGTGCGCCCAGGAAGCGGCTCAAGCGGCCGGCGGGG